AAAATTTTTAATTTTTTGGGGTTTTTTTTAAAAAAAAAAAAAAAAAAAAAAAAAAAAAAAAAAAAAAAAAAAATATATATATATATATATATATATATATATATATATATATATATATATATTTTTTTTTTTTTTAATTCGAACGTTGGAACATGTAACGACCAATCTACCTTAACAGTTCCACACCTACCAGTATAGCAGCTCCTTATGTTTAGCAGCGTCAGGCGCTTTAGCAGGGGAAGTGCTTAGCCAATATGCTTAGCTTGTGATTGACTTATTATAGATTCATATGCCGGTGAAGCTAAACACATAGCTAAACGTGTAACACTGCCAACGTGTCTAGCTTTTTCTTCTGTTAAACGCTTAAAAAGCTATACGTGCTTAACTTTTACACATATTTCTAAATGCGTATAGGTGCTTAACGTGTCTTGTGTGTATTGAAATGCTAAACACACTGTAAAAACAGTGTTTAGCTCCTAAACACATTTCTAAGCGCCTGTTTTGTCTCACTTTTTCGACGCGTTTAGCTCCTAACATGCTTAGCTCCTTAACATGTTACACCCTTGTGTTTAGCAGTATGACGCGTTTGACGGCTTATACATATAGGGTGTATTTGTTTAACTTTTGGGTATCAACTGTTAGACGCGCGCACGCGCACACACACAGACGAACTCACGGTCACCTTTAACTGCTATAGTTATCTCTTTCTATAACAGTGTACCGTGAACTGTCAACATCGTTGACTTCCCAATATCATATATACAGCTGGACTTATTCATCCTTGTGTTAGCTGACCTTGCAAGGAAGTTTATTGGAATGTATTTCTGAAAAGCAGGTTAGGAAAATTCACTAGTTCACTAAAGGCACGAAACAACTATCATTTTTACTTTAAAACACCTTTCTCCATATTTTGATAAAATGCATTACGGTATTGATATCTATTTATTTTTTCCGGAAGTAATGAACAATAGAACATCAGGATGATGGTGGGGTATCTTTATATAAAACTTTATTTAAGCTTTCATCCCATGCTGGTTATTTCGGTACCGATAGTCCGAATTCTCTACAATTCGCACCTCTCTAGTCGCCGACTAACCCCAAGCCCATTTTGGATTTAACAGCTAACTGTAGTTCAAACAGCATAAGACGCGTTTTGGTTATTTATATAAAAAATGTTTTCAAAACATTGTATAATGTTTTTCCAGAATGTTATAAACACGCTGATAAAACTCCACAAAATGACGTTACATGTATCATAAAATTTTGGTGAAACGGTCTTCGAATCTTTTTACAAATTATAACGTTACTGTACATCTTAAAAACACACACAGAGTCGGGCAAATTGACCTTTATTTCCCAGAATCTAGAACACTATAAATAAGTAGAACAGACAAACTCAATATTAATAGATTGTATCATAAATAAATTAAACCATTTCTGCAACAGATCATGAAAAGTCCCACCACTTGCAACCGAGTTAAGATAATAAAAACTCCTGAAATTGAAAAGGGAAGGGTGGGTGGGAGAGCAAAGCAGAATAGGCTTAAACAGCAAGGTCGGTGTGCTAACGCTAAAAATTATGCATGTTTCAGCTGGCGGCGCTAAACAAAGACTGCCCCAGGAGTGAAAAATTAATAGGGCCTACAAAGTTAAGCTGAATGACCATTGGCCACGCTACCGGATGTTTTTCACGTGGCCTAGTTACTTAGAGCTGATAGGACAAAATTGTTTTTCACATGACTAGTAACAACCCTGGGAAACAAAGGCCAGCTGCAGGCACCTTCCCTGTGTGTGCTTTTAAATACTCCTTATTCTAAGGGGGCACTTAAAAACACACACAGAGTCGGGCAAATTGACCTTTATTTCCCAGAATCTAGAACACTATAAATAAGTAGAACAGACAAACTCAATATTAATAGATTGTATCATAAATAAATTAAACCATTTCTGCAACAGATCATGAAAAGTCCCAACCCAAAGTAGGGATTATTGTGATGAAAGTCTAGTTAAAATAAGCATTTCAGTTCATTGCACAGTGGAGCAATCACAATCACTGCATTTGCACTTAATTAAATTGCACATGACACAGTTCATGTCCACACTTGAGCATGCATCTGGCGACATTAAAGTTGTGTGTGGACTCACAAAACCTTATAGTTTCTGCACTGCTGATGTAACAACATCTAGCTTCATAGCTGTAGACGGTTTGATATATTCGTAGACGGCGTCGCTCTTCCAATCCCCCATGGCTTTGACCATGGCAAGGGGTGTACCTACAGACATCAGCCAAGTTGCTCCCCCTCTGCGAAGGCTGTGGGTGTTGTAGGTGGCTGAGGAGAGTCCAATATCTTTTAAAGCCTGGATGAGGCGACGACGAAACAGAGATTGCGTAAGCACAGATAAATTTCCTTTCTCATCTGTGTAGGAGAAGAGGGGTGTGTCAGGAGCTGCAAGCTGGGCACCCAGGAATTTTAACAATGTTGTGATGGGACAGAGGGCAGAACCTGCTATGTAAGGCAGCACAACTGTATGTGGCGGGTGTCCATACTGATTTGTCTTTGACTTGGCTATCCTAAGTATGCCCCCTTCCCCCATCACAGAAAAATCTTTCCGACACAAAGAATGTCCTGGTTCAGACTGGGATTTCACTGTCACATTGCTTACTCGAAGAAGTCCAAAGAAAGCACAAAGGCAAGCGGCCCATTGTTGTAGGTCCTGCAAGTTGCTGAGGTTGAATGTGCCATGGAGTTTATAAAGGTGCTCTGGAAGTAGCGGCAGTTTTTGGTTCCCTTGATCTCCCTTGTGTCGTCTTATTCCCCCTAGGATGGTCTTAAGCTCCCATGATGTAAGGGGATTGCCTAGGCCAAACTCCATGTGCAGTATCCTGATGATGTTTAGGTATTGACGGACTGTCGAGACAGCACAAGAGCGTGCCAGAAAGGCAGCATAGCGGCACACGTTCTTACTTGACACCGGGAGTGGTGCACAGTTAATGGCATTGCAGAAGTTAATGTATGAATTAAGGTGTGTTCTGTAAGTCACTTTTGTGGATGTAGCGAATAGCTGAGACTTCCAAAAGGCAACTTCTTGGTCTAGTTCTCTACATAGCTTCGTGGCAGTATTCCCTGTGAATACAGAAACATAAGTGAATGGGCAGTCATGTGGTAATTAAGGTGGTATGCGGGTGGTAATATATTTAGGCATGAGTACCACAGATTTATCAGGTCAGTTAATTGGCAGGCTTTTCCTGGCTCATGTAAACGCGAGATTGTATCAGCAAGGACATTGTCCGTCCC